TCAATCTATATGTAGAAAAGATCATCCAGGAGGCTGGGCTCTATGAGGAGGAATGTGGCATCAGGACTGGTGGAAGAGTCAACAACAACCTACATTATGCAGATGACACAACATTGCTTGCTGAAACTAAGGACCTGAAGCACTTGCTGCAGAGGGTCAGGGACTGCAGCCTTCAATATGGTCTGAAGCTCAACATCAAGAAAACAAAGGCTCTTACTACATGGCCAAATGGCAGCATCATGATGGACAGTGAAGAGACCAAGATTGTTAACAGCTTCAGTTTGCTTGCCTCCACAATCAACACTCTTGGTACCAGCATCCAGGAAATGAAAAGATTAATTGCACTGGGAAAGTCAACTGTTAGAGACCTCCCCAGAGTGCTGAAGAGCCACAATGTCCATTTGGAGAGTAAGGTGCACCTGATCCAGGCCATGGTCTTTGCAATTATGTATTGTGTATCAGAAAGCTGGACAATGACTAGGGATGTTAGGAGAATTGATGCCTTTGAACTGTGGTGCTGAAGAAGAGTACTGAATACACCATGGACTGCTAAAACAAACAGGTTCATCCTGGAGAGGGTGAAACCAGGCTGCTCTGTGAAGGCAAGGATTCTGAAGCTCCATCTGACATATTTTGGGCATGCTGCAAGGAGGGACCGGTCTTTGCTTGGAAGTGTGGAGGGAAAGCATAAGAGAGGAAGACCTTGCAATAATACCAAAGACAATTTACACGTTCAATGCAATCCCAATAAAAATACCAATCCCATTCTTCAAGGAGATGGAAAAGGTAATCTCCAGTTTCATTTGGAATGGAAAGAAGCCCCAAATAAGCAAAACACTCCTTAAATATAGAAAAAATGTAGGAGGCATCTCACTCCCTGATTTCAAATTCTACTACACTGCTGTGGTGGTTAAGACAGCATGATACTGGTACAATGACAGACACATAGATCAATGGAATAGAATTGAGAACCCAGAAATCAGCCCATCTAAATATGGTCAACTGATTTTTGACAAGGAAATGAAATCAGTTAAGTGGGGAAACGACAGCCTTTTTAACAAATGGTGCTGGCAAAATTGGAACAATATCTGCAGAAGACTCAGCAAGATCCACACCTCACTCCATATACAAAAACCAACTCAAGGTGGATCATGGATCTAGGACTAAAACCAAGGACTATAAACTTCATTAAAGAAAAGCTTGGAAGAGCTCTAGTAGTCCTAATCCAGAACATAAACAGTCTTCCGAGTATCCTGAAAAATCTACAACCAGAAGATAAAATAGATGAATGGGACCTTCTAAGAATCAAATCCCTATGCACATCCAAAAACTTCTCCAACAGGGTAAAAAGCAAAGCCACAGACTGGGAAAAAGTATTTGGGAATGGCATGTCAGATAAGGGACTTATATCTAGAATTTGTAAAATACTTGTGCACCACAATAAGAAAAAGGTAAATAATCCAGTTGAAAAATGGGCACAGGATATGAATAGACACTTCACCAAAGAAGACATTCAGATGGCCAACAAGCACATGAAGAAATGTTCAAAATCCCTAGCTCTAAGAGAGATGCAAATCAAAACAACT